GTAGTAGTAGTAGTAGTAGTAGTAGTAGTAGTAGTAGTAGTAGTAGTCGTAGTCGTAGTCGTAGTCGTAGTCGTAGTCGTAGTAGTAGTCGTAGTGGTAGTGGTAGTGGTGTAGTGGTGTAGTGGTGTAGTGGTAGTAGCGGTAGTAGTAGTAGTAGTAGTAGTAGTAGTCGTAGTCGTAGTCGTAGTCGTAGTAGTCGTAGTAGTCGTAGTCGTCGTGGTGGTGGTGCTAGTGAAATTTAGGAGTAGTAGTAGTAGTAGTAGTAGTAGTAGTAGTAATTGTAGTAGTAGTAGTTGTTGTTGTTGTAGTAGTAGTTGTAGTTGTAGTTGTAGTAGGAGTAGAAGTAGGAGTAGGAGTAGTAGTAGTAGGAGGAGTAGTAGTAGTGGTAGCGGTAGTGGTAGTGGTAGGTGTCGGAGTAGGAGCAGTAGTGTAGTGGTAGTGGTAGGGGTAGGGGTAGGGGTAGGGGTAGGGGTAGGGGTAGGGGTAGTGGTAGTGGTAGTGGTGTGGTGGTGGTAGTAGTAGTAGTAGAAGTAGTAGTAGTAGTACTAGTCGTCGTCGTAGTGGTGGTGGTGGTAGTGGTGGGAGTAGTAGTAGTTGTTGTTGTAGTAGCAGCAGCAGCAGCAGTAGTAATAGCAGTAGACGTGGTGGTGGTGGTGGTGGTGGTGGGAGTAGTGGTGGTGGCAGTAGTTGTAGTAGTGGTAGTCATAGTGGTAGTCGTTGCGGTGGTAGTAGTAAGGGTAGTGGTAGTGGTATTGTGCTTGTGGTTGTGTTCGTCGTCGTCGTAGTGGCAGTAGTAATAGACATGTTTATAATCGTAATATTGATAGTAGTAGTAGTAGTAGAAGTAGTCGTAGTTGTAGTAGTCGCAGTCGTAGTCCTAGTCTTAGTCGTAGTGGTAGTAGTAGTAGTAGTAGCAGTAGTAGTAGCAGCAGTAGTAGTAGTAGCAGCTGTACTAGTAGTAGTGATAGGAGTAGGAGTAGGAGGAGGAGGAGTAGTAGTAGTAGTAGAAGTAACAGAGGAGTAGTAGTAGGAGTAGTAGGAGGAGGAGCAGCGGCAGTTGTGGTGGTTGTAGTCGCCGTCGTGGCAGTAGTGGTAGAAAAAGTAGTAGAAGAACAACAGAAAACTAAACTCAATTTTTTTCCTAGGGTTCCAAGTTGACATCTTAATCCCGCCCCCTAAGCAGTTGATATAATTCACTTCCCTTGGGCTTGTGCTCTACCCGGCTCTACCCCCTTGAAAGGTTGTTTGGAGCAATGAAATCGATTAGTTTAAATCTGGATTTTTGAAAAATGTTTTCAGGTCAGAGTTCAATGAATCAAGCAAACCCCAAAAGGGTTAGGCAAGGATTTTAAAGCGCGGCGTAGCAGAACAATAGATTAGAAACCATTTGGGCAAAAAACCTTTGCAATGTTCCTACTCACTAAACCATTCAGGGCGTGGAAATACTTTTTTTTTTTTTTTTTTTTCGAAATTTGTTTGTTATTACCTCCCACTTGACTAATGAGGATTCAACATTATGCACAAGCTGCCGAGACAGCAAAGTGCACCGTTCTGACAGAGGTTGCCCAACCGGTTATCCAAAAGATGGTGTGAAATAGTCCTTTTTGTGTAAATATAACAAGTCATAATCATACGTAAATTGCATTGGGTGGGGTGAGGGCGGGGGTCAGTAATAACTTTCCACTTCAGTGTGGGTTGTAAGATTTTGCTTGTGTTTGCTCCAATTATTTGGCTATGTGGCCCATGTCTCAAATTCGCGAGCAGCGTGCCCAAAGAATCTCAACATACTTTCTGTATGATTGTGATTGGTGGACCACCGGGTCCTACCTTGAAGGCAGGGGCCATTGCCACTTCTTTCCAGTGCTTGTTACCATGTGATGCACCCACATGGGGCTGGATTGACGTACAATAACGTAACATCATTTAAGGCGGCGTGTATCATTGCAAGAAGGCACAGCGCAAAGGTCTGGGAGGCAGATGTTTGTTTTATGAAGACCTTCCCGTGACTGATGGCATGTGGTAGTAGAGGTGCTTGTCGTTCGTGACTGAGGTGTTCGGCATCAATCCGCCGAAGCAGAAGACAATTCCGGCTACGTAAGTCGCCACCAGTGTCTGTCGACCAAGTGGTCGGTGGGTAGCAGTTGATCGTTTTGGGTGGGCCCATGCATAGGGCCCATTTGCTGCCTCAGCATCCATGGTTTTTGTATGTTTTTGTACGCCATCCAACATTGTGGCGATCTTTGGTTTCTTCTGAGGGAGTGAGAATTCATGTCGCCAGAGAAACATTTTCAAGTGAGCGGACCTTTGCAAGGGTTAACTGGCCTCAAGATGAGATGTTCTTTGACGTCCTTGTCATGGACCGATCCCGTAATCCCACAGACATGTGGTTCTTCTTTTTTGGGCTAGTGGAAGGGATTAGATTGGAGTTCTCGTAGCTTGAGGCACACAGTGGTCCGCATGCAAATGTCTTGCCACACGGCTTTTAGCATTTTCAGAGCTGCAAAGCAGGTTCATGCTACGTGGGGCCATGTGGCTGCAGATTAGAGACTTGAGATATCTTGAGACATCCAAAGGAACCCGATGAAAGTCCAGTTTTGCCTTCTCGGCTTCTTCGCTTGCCTCGGCTTCTTCGTTCGAGCGGTCGATCCAGGACCTTCCCAAGGTTCAACTCCGTGAAGATGAGGCGGGGCGGAGTTGGCTGGGCGTGGCATCGGCAGAAGCTTTGGAAGCTCTAGTGGGTGATGCTTTGGAATCCATTCGTGAAATTATCTTACTGTAGATCTTTTTTTGACATTGGGGCTCCGCACAAGTCTTGTCTAGGAAGTGATCGCCCCCTTCATGGCTTTTGAGTCTGTCTGTCCCATGTGGATCGCATCTGCCAGTCCCAGGATGGCAACATTCATTTGCGGAATCTGTCCGTGAACATGGCCCAGAAGGAAGAAGATGCGCAAAGCTTGCGTGTTTTCATTGTTCTTGTTAACTACTGTTTCAATCTTTTGGCCATGTTGTCGGGAGTTCGCCAGGTTGAACTTGCTCTTCCTTGGTGACACCAACCGAGTGGTGGCAGAAACACCTATGAATGACGTTTCCACCCGATCCTTGCCCGCGGTCAATGAAATGCTAGCTGCTACGGCACTACCCTTGGCTGTTGCAGTCGTGGTTCAGATACCGTGCGTGATGGGTTTGAGCAGCATGAACGGAGATGGCACTCTTCCTTGATTTATGTGGCCATGGAATGCCATGGACATAAAGCTAGTATTCATGGGTTCGGCCACGTGGGTGAGCTGTTCTTGGCGTCTTCACGGCCGGGCGAGCTCAGGAAGCCATTGCATGTCACCTGGCGCCAGCGGGACGAGGACACGGGTGAGGAAGCGAAAGGTTCGGATCGAGTGATCGCGTAGTTCGTGACGATGTTTGTGGACCCCTGTTTCTAACATAATTCTTGTCGAGCCTTGTTGGATGCTTGGGGGTCCCATACGATGGAACCATGGAGTAGAAGGTGGATGAGACCATATGAGGCCAATTGTTTGTTTTTTTGCCAAAAAGTGACAGTGTGGTCACACTAGGGGTTCTTGAGGGTCAAGGCTGGGTGTTTGATCGGCAGATTTCGTGGCAGGGGCAGTAGTTTGTGAACCTTGAAATGCAGATTTCGGGGCAGGCGCAGCAAATGTGCTCTCTTATGTATGTGCTCCCATATGTGCGCTCGTGCTCTTGCATCTCCTCTGATAATGTGCGCCCTCCAGCCCTCCAGATCTCGAGAGATCTCTCTTGGCCTCCAGGCGACCCCGAGCTTTTGAAATTTTGGATCTCAAGGCGTCTGCTAGACCTCGATCTCGGCCTTTATATAATAGATCATTCTAGACCACTAAAGACTAAAGCCCTAGCCTAGACCTCTAGATCTCTCTGGACCCTCCAAGGCCTGTAGACCTTTAGATCTCGACCTCTAGATCTAGGTTGCGAACCTCAAGAACTCTAGAGCTCCCAAGGCCTCTGGATCTCTAGACCCCCTTTAGTTCTTTAGACATCTGACCTCTAGGTTTCTAGGCCCCCTGACCTAAGCTCCAAGACCTTTACACCTCTAGGTCTCGACCTGTAGACTCTAGACCTCTATATAGATCTTTTTGGATCTCAAGACCTCGACCTCTGGATACTCTAGACCTCTAGATCTTTCTGGCTCTCAAGACGTGGAGCTCAAGAACTCTGGATCTCTAGATCTAGACTCCAGCTTCTTTTTAAATCAAGACCTCTAAGCCTGTTGATTTTCTACGCCGCTAGATGTAGTGTTCTTGGGTCTCAAGGCCACTAGATCTCTACCTACTAGACTCTTCGTGACAATCAATGCGCACACCTTCGCCAGCTGGTTGGACGAGAGTGAGGGGCCAGAAAGGACAACACCAACCCTCTCACCCTTCGGGGGGGTGAACCAGGGACCAACCTTTCGTCCTTCAACTTGCCAATCCTCGGAATTCCACCCATTCCTGGTACACCCTATCTCACCATGAGAAACAACACTCCACCACATTCCCTGATACTTCAACATTGATGTCTACGGCTTTCACCAGTTTGCCTCCTGAGTCCGGCATCCCACTCCTCTCTTCATCTCACTCGTAGTATCTCACTAGTACGGGCAAAGCTCCATAGGAAGCCCGCTCAAAAAAGATCTCTGGATCTTTAGACCTCTAGCCCTCCAAACTCTGGAGTTGTAGACCTTGAGACCTCTAGGCCTCTAGACCTAGAGTTCTTGGATCTCAAGACCTCTAGATCTCTGCTAGACCTAGAAACCTCTAGATCTCAGCCTCCGGACCTAGAACTCCGGACCTAGGCACCAGGTTCTGTCTCAAGACCTCACCTTTGCATCTCTAGACCTCTGGATCTCAATACCTCTAGACCTCTAGATCTATCTCCTCTCCAGATCTGGACACTTGGAGACCTCTCTGGATCTCAAGAGCTCTAGGCGTCTAGACTCCAGATCTAGACTCGACCTCTCTGGAGCCCAACCTTCTGCTTCTACACCTCCGGACCTGAGGCCTCTAGACACACTGTTTGGGGCCTCTTGCGGGGACCATGTTTGTTTTGGGCCTCTGGATTCCTTGAGGTTCATCATGTGGGTGGAGTCTACGAAGCCCGACAGCGACACAGTTCCGCCCTTAGGCTTAGGCTCCGTGACACGGAACGAGGCGCCGAGACGCCAGACCGGTCACGGTTTCCAGGTGCGGAGAGCGAAGCTGCACTTGGTGGATTTGGCTGGGGCGGCCCATTTCGCGCGGGCAGAGGGAAGAGGGCATACTATAGAGCAGAGATATCTTAAGACGGTGAAGACATATGAAAACACACACACACACACATCTATAGTCATTTATATAATATATATATAGTATGATATAAATAATGTATTTCTTAGTAGAATCTATCTTTAAGTGCACACTCCCGCCCCAGAGGCAATCCTCAGAGAGAGGAGACATCAACTGTTCATCAGCAATCCTCATACTCGCTGGGTTTGGGTCCTGCTGGTGGCCCTTTTCCTGAGGCAGGGAGCGAACGGATCTCGAAGACGGGCGCTGGAGTCCCGGGAAGAACGAAATCGCTGTCGGATGAGAGGAACGAAGACATGGACGGCCGGGGTTCCTGATTGACTCACTCGCTAGACCCTGAGGTGGAGGGTCATTTGCAAAAAGAAGCACGCTACATCAACCTGTCCTTGCGCGTGACTCAGCCGCTTCCTGCCAGGCGAGCTCTAGCTACTCTAGTTACATTATTGTTAATTAATGACCTGAATGGCCTCGGTCGACCGGGCCATGGGACAAGAATGGACGACAGCTGAAGGCTTTCTCAAGGTTTTGCTGTGGATTTCCAAGGCACTACTTGGAGCAGGTCATCGTGGCCTTGCACGAGCGCACCACTGGAGCTCGAAATCATGTTCCTTACAGGCGTCTTGGTGTGGGAGTCGGGCGGGGAAAAGGGAGTCTTCGGTGTGGTTGCTAAGAAACACATGCGGGTCAGGTTTTTGATGGTTTTTGGGGTGACGGCTCTGAGGTATTCAAGACATCTTGAGTTGATAGCCTCAGTGTAAGTCGAGAGGTGAATTGTGGTCGAACGTGTTTAGCTAAAGCCCTTGTGATGTAAAGGAGCAATGAGAAACAGGAGCCCAGGCCAGAATGAGCCAGACAGAGTTGTGAGACAGCTATGGGCCGGCCAGAGTCTTGCAGAGAAAGGAGGAGAGACAATATGGGTGAGACTAGTGCCATTCGTATCCATTTCGTGTGTCAAGCCGCTACAGTCGCTAAATACATGTGAGCACTGGTGATCTTTGGCGAGTCACCTGGATCGGGTCGGTGCCAAGTGATGCCCAGTCTCTGCGCGCGGTCACGCGCAGGTCTCGGTCTCTGCTTCCGCTTCTTCGCTTCGTTTCGTGACAGCGAGGAACTCGATGATGACCTCGGTGCTGCGGGACTCATTGGGTTTGAGCACCCAGCCACGGCACGGTTGGAGCGCCACGCGTGCACGGTCCCTCTGAGTGAGGGACGCGGGGAGCGGAGGGACCGTCTTGAGGTTCGGCTTTCGTGCGAAAATGAGACATTTGGACCTTCAGACGCACAAAGACCTCGGCCCAAATATAGGCAGCCCAAAAACGATCACTGAACAGCAAAGAGCTCGTATTCCGTATTCCTGATTTTTGATGCTTTGCGCCGAGATACGGCTAACAGGCATACCACGTTTGAGTTTCATTGTGAGCGATCTTCCAAACAAGTCCATTGAACATTTGGTCCAGGTGGCAACTGCAAGACGGTCATGGTGGGAACGGCAGCCATTGAAGACCGCCATTTAGAAGAGCGCCTCGCTGCAGAGAAGAATGGCTTTGCCCCAAATGGTGGTGGAACTCTTTCCCAAAACGCTGGGCTTGGGAGAACGTGGCTAGATGAAACTGAACACACCTTTGTTGCCTCTTGAGTGTAGCACTCAGCGTCCATTGCACGTGCCAATTGGAAGCTCAAGTTATCTCAAGTCTATTTCAGGCTAGGCTAGGCCTAGGGTCCAAACAAGTCTTCATCAGCAGATCGAATCCTTTCAAGATCATTTCACAATGCAAACAACAGCAGGGACAACAGGTAAGCGGTTCAGAATGATTCAGCAGGTCCGCTCACAGGGAACCCAGAGGATGTCATCGTTGGCCACCGCTCCTTTGGCACTCCGGTGGCCGCTGGCCTGCTCTTGAAACTTAAGCATTTCTTGGGAACTGTGTATTTTTAACACCTGAAGGCAACACAACACTTAGGATGAAGCTCGGACGGGGCCATTTGCAGTACCAATCCAGTCAAACTCATCAGCACTTTACTGCATTAGCACTGTACGGCTTTTACCAAATTAGGCCATACCTGAACCTGCAGGAACGGCCCTAATTAGGACGTTTGCTAAGAGCTTTGTTGAGAACTTTGCAAGTTCGCCGTCTGCGTCTGTGCAAGTAGTCATCAGTTCGACCTAGCAGTAATCATGTGTGTTTTGAGAGGTCCCTTGGAAGCAGGGTGTGGCACACACAGACGCGTAGACGTCTAGAAATGGTAGAAAGAAGAAAAGAAGAAGAAGATGGAGAAGGAGAAGGAGGAGAAGAAGAAGGAGAAGAAGAAGAAACAGAGAGAGACAGAGAGAGAGAGAGAGAGATCACAGAGAACACACGTAGTAAGCACGTGAAGGAATCTCAACGTTTTAGGTGCGACATTGCATCTTGCTGACACAGTAGGCACATCACTCTCTCTCTCTCTATGTATAGGTTTGTGACGGGAATTGCCAGAATAGATTGGTGTCATGCCAGCTGGACTTTGCAGAGTGAGAGGGGTGGGTGTCATGAATCAGATATCCCGGATATCCCTGACCAGGTCCATGTCCACTTGCCGATTTGCGCAACGAGTGGCCGCCATCAAGAACAATGCCACAGTGAATGAGGCAGGATCTGAACTTTCAAGCCACTTTCATGCTTGCACGTGCAGTGCTCATTCGCACGATATGGGGAGCCAACGGTGACCGGTGCCCGATCACATCCCAAGACCGAGCTGCTCTGCCGCGCGGAGCATTCTCCGCCCATGCTCCGAATCCGGCGAGGAGTTAGACCCTGCTTTGCTCATTCGCCGTTTGAAGAAGGAGGCCGCCGAGCTCAAGGCCCGGCGGGTTTCGCGGTTCAAAAGAAACCGATGGAGGCGTCGGGGTTGGTGCCGTGACGTGTGGCACAGGATGAGCTGAAGCTGCTGAATGGTGAGGCTGAAGAGTTGAATGCTGAGGACAAGGAGGTGCCTGAATTGAGCTGAGGTTTATTTTAGTTCTGTTTGGGTTCGGCATGGAGGGTCTTGATTTTTGGATTTCCTGGGAGTGATGTTTGAATAGAACCTTCTGGAAGGTTGGAGATCTGTTCATCCAAGTGAGAGAGAGAGAGAGAGAAGGGAGTCGAGAGGAGTGGAAGTCTTGAGGAGCCTAGGTTAGTGGAAGTCTTGGCTTCATTCTCTTCCGCCAGGAGTGTAAGAAGCTTGTCCAGGGCTACCTGGTCCAGCAGGACCTTTGAGCTTGTCCAAACAATGAGCGGCCTTATGATAGGCGAGATAGGCGAGGCGACAGGATCAGTTTCTGGCATCTTGAGATAGGCTTATAAAGTCAACGTCCTAACAGAAGTTAACATGATTGACCTGGATACATGCAAGATGATGCAAGCAAAGCTTTATGCAAAGGATGCGCAAGGCCTTCAACAGCCCGGACCAGCCACCTTCCACGACCAGATTCGACCGTCCAACCACCTCGCTCCATCCCGAGGATTTAGAGGCACCCTTTGTGGGTGGATCCATCTCCCGATTTCAGGAATGCTTCCGCCTCCTTCGCCGGGACCCGAGGAAAGGGAGTGGGAAGAGGGTCAGGACATAGGCAAGATATGGGAATCTTTTGAGAAAGCGGCTGCGAGATGGTACTTCACAAAATTTCACAAAGGCAGATGCGGCAGAGGCCTCTGGTTTCTCTTGGTTGTTCTTGTTTGTCCCCTTTTTGATTGTTCCCCTTTCCCAACCGTTCGGGTTAGTGTCCGTCAACCGAGCCATAGGAGGAACTTAGATGGGAGTCACTTGAGCGGACACCTTGCAGTGTCGTTTGCTGTTCGCCCTTAGGTGAGGTGTACCTGCAAAAAGCTGGCGGAGCTGTTGAGTATCCAACTCAGCACTGGCAGGCAGTCTATGACAATCTGCGACCGTATGCACTTCAAGATCTTCAAGTAGACTAGTAGACGGAGAAAGTTAGTTGTGTGAGACGCGCACAATCGCAATTACACGCAGGGTATGAGCATCACCGCATGTCGCCAACTTGAATGCTTTCAGAAGCAGCTCGCAGCCCTTGTGCTTGCAGCGAGGTGGTGAATGCAGCGGTTTAAGAGAGGAGGTGCCCCCAATGGTAAGCCTGTGGCCCCTTTGCCAGCCAGAGGTTTTCGGGTTGGATGTACTTAATCGAAGGTGGAGACCTGATGATGCCAAAGCCTCAAGAGTAGATTTGACCACGAAGATCTTTTTGGGGTTTTCAACTATTCTATCAGAACGATGGTGGCAAGGAGCTGTTGATTTTGCCAAGCAGGGTTTTTTCGCCATGGCCGGAATCTTGCTGGAGGTGGGGCCACGTGAAGGGTGCCTACGTAAGAATCAAGTGGATTGATCTTACTTTTTGGAGAGAGGATCAGAGTCTTGGCTCTATTATAAACTACTAGTACTATTTGTCTTATGCTCCTATCGATCCTATCTATCTACGGTATTCGCTGCACTCGTGTCAGTATTGACGGTATTGACCAATCCGGATCCATGCCTTTCAGCATGTCAGACCATCCGGTGGATGTCATGCAACGCGGGACGGCAGGTGCAACGCTTGAAGGAGAGGTGTCGCATTGTGCTTGCTTCGAGCAGCCCCCGGCGGCATGAGATTCTTAGCCTTCTGGGCTGCTCGGCATGGTGGACTGTATAGCGCCTTTTATGTGGCACCACACACTCAATATTTTAATGGGGTCACTCAAGGAGGTGGCACACATCTAGTTATATATACATATATAATTATGCATATAGTTACACATAAAATTGTATACCGTACATCTAAAGCCGACACCAGAACCGGGGAGATTGGCTCCCTCATGAAACCAGGCGTTCCCTTCGAAGTGGTCACGCCGAAGTTTGCGGAGGATCTGGACAAGTCCAAATACACTCCTCCAGAGCAGCTGGGTTGGTTGGCAGGAGACACAAAGTAGGGTTTCGGGGTTAGGTTATGTGGGCCAGGCTCACAAGCAAGAACTTACTAGTGAACTCACTGCCTTTATTGTGTTAGAAGGGTTCTGCGGGAATGTCATGCTCAATGCAAGGCAGATGTGCTGGAACTTTAGGATAGTTCTTTGCTTGAAGAAGGATGTTGAAGAATTGCAAAGAAGCAGGAGCATTGACACTAGCTGCTTGATCTACTGTAGTCTAGTTTGCATTACCATGGGAAAATGTAGGAAAGTGTGGGACAGCTACCTCTACGTTTTTTATACTGCATGGATACAGCTTTCAATCATATACAGTATGCAAAGCTCCAAACAACTATTGGGACACTATCACCCCTGCTTGGGACATCAACTATCTAGTTCTCAAACGGAATCACAAGGACCACGCACGCAGAAAAGGCCCTTGCCCGAGATTGCTCAAACCACGTGGGCTGCCACGAGAGAGGCCACGGGTTCCGCAACCATGATCGTCAGTGGACATGGTACGTGACCGTCAGGTATGTCATGGCCAATGCTCGCATCAAATGCGCTGAGGCGAGCCAAGCTCGTGCCGAGCTAGGGTCCGGTGGGTGTCTCTCAAACGCACGGGGGGTCCCGAATCTCCTGTAGCATTCCAATGTTGAGGGGTTTCTATGTTGACACAGACAAGCAAGATTCCAGGTGGTGATGAAGCTGGCTCATCCCAGATATCCACAGCCCGAATACGATGACAAAGTCCTCATCGTGATAGGCAGGGCATGCGCATGGGGAACACACAAACGCAGAGCAGGACTGGACCACTGAAGAGGCTTTGCTGCTGGGTGTGAGCGGCTGGGACAGCGGCACCTCTGATTTTCCTATATTTCCTAAGGCCCTCCCACTAACCCTTGCAGATCCCAAAAGTAGTTGTGGCTTGTAGGAGCATCGTTGCATGCCGCAACGCCACTCCAAGCAGTCGAACCATCAACCCACACCATGTCTTGGATGCTCATGAGAGCTGCTGGCTGCTTCACCTGACACATGCAGGGCTGCAACGAAAGATGTTTCCGGGGGTGTTTGCTTGCCAACAATGCGTCGTCGTGGGCCTGCCACTGGAGTGGCGTTGCGCCACGTGCATTGTGGCTTGACGGAGTTTCACGAATAGAGATTGCAAATGATCGAGTTCGGTGACCCATGTTGGTGGATCAGGTTTGGTAGCGGTCGGGTGGCAGATCCCAAAAGACATCATGGGCCACTTACAAACTGGACAGAGGTTTCTTTTTCCTAGATCTGTGACTTTTCTCGTCAGGTGCTGACACCGTGGTGGTTCGTGGTGATACGATCCTTGAGAAGCCCGAGGCCCTTACTGGACCAGTGGTGGGATCATCAGCAATGATGGGTACAAGACTGGTGATTGGTGTTATGGTGCGAGATGGCCCAGTGACGAGTCATGACCGCCAGAGAAAGAAAGAAAGAAAGAAAGAGAGAGAGAGAGAGAGAGAGAAAGGTAGAACGAGAGGCTTGTTAGGGGTTTGGTCTTTTTCGTTACTTGGTCGAACAGTTGTTACTTCATGTGTTCCGGACCCGGAACTAACTACCATGTTCAGGTTTGAAGGTCCTTGTGGGTGGTCTGGTGTTTCGTTGCAGTTGGAGGTTGGACCTTTCAAGTCCTTGCAGGATGGGACATGTCGACCAGGTGAACACGGTGAACACGGTGAACACACAGTCACTACCAATGATCTACCATCCGGATCATCCCTTAGCCGCAGCCTTCTGATCACGGCTCGTGTGGGTGAACTCTACAAGAAGCACAACTGGATCCCTTGGAGCGTGCTGAGGGTCTCGATTTGAGTTTCTTCCACTGAACAACCGCCCATGGTGCTCGTGCGCATCCAGGATGCAGCGCATGCCTTGGCGATGTTGAAGCAGTTGCAGGGACGGGAGCATCAGGTAGAGACACTCAGTGGCGGTGGGGAAAATTGGTTAGGAGTTTTCAGTTGAATACAGCTCTGAAGTGGGGTCCTTCTCGAGTCTTGGTTAGAGGGATTCATTAGAACCTGGGGATGGTTTGCGGAAGCATGAGTCCGACTTGAAGTCGCTCGACTCGTTCAAGGATGCCGACCCATCCTGTGCGCACCCTGACGAACCTCGACAGGTGATCACTGGCATGGCGGTCTCGGTCGGTGGCTCCGAGGAACCTGTGGCCATTTTCGCCACTGGGACCTGATTGTGTCGGCTGGCCTGGGTGGGACATTGCCAGACAAAAATCTTCATTGAGGGTTGTTATTAGTAGCGTTCTTGCGCCTAGTAGTAGGGCCAGGAGAAATCTAGTAGCGTCCTTGCTCCTGGTAGCGATGCCCTTGTTACTAGTAGCGTTCTTGCTCCTAGGGTTGTCCGGGGTTGTGGCTGTTGCTCTCTACTGTGCTGTGTTTGAGATGCGTCCAGACATTTGTCTCAGCGTGGCTAGAACAGCTCGTTCCATGTCCAATGACTTTCCAACTGGTTCTTTCTGCGAGCAGCGGCCGGCTTGTCCTGTACCAACTACGCATGGATGTGGGAGGTGGTCCAGTTACCGAACATGCCACCTCATCTGAGGAAGAAACCTCTGTCTCCTTTGCGCAGCTCACAGATGAGGAGTTGAAAGGCTACATCGAAACGGGTGAGCCTTTCGACAAGGCAGGTGCCTATGGTATTCAGGCGCGGAACCAGGTGCCAAAATGACTTGTGGGTGAATCAAGGTGAACCGTAGGGGCAATCCAAGACCCACATGGCCCAGGCCCTCGGCAGCCTTCTCGTCACTGGGATTCGAGGCAACTACCAGAATGCCACCTGCCAGGAAAACCTACCCAGATTCGCCGTCCAAGACTAGCAGGAAAGCTCAGGAAAAATGGGGGAAGTTTGCTAAGAAATGGACCAGACTGCAAAAGACGCCTGAATTTCGCTGCTTCCAAGGTGGTGGGCTTGCCGCTGGCGCCGTTGTCAAGGCTGATTGCGGCCGAATTGGCACGTCATTTGAAGGGTGCAGCCCAAGAGTGTCTTGTGACGCACTAAAATGTCACTCTGGACAGAAGTGATCTTCAGCCGCAGAGCGCCATTCCCCTGCCGAAGCTCATTGGGCTGACTGCATGGGCATGTGGCCGTGGTGCACAGATAAAAAAAAGGCTTCGAAGACTTTGGCACTGGCTGGGCGCGAATTGGCCACCCACCTTCCTTGCAAAAACATCTCTTTTGGAATGACTGTAGGGTGAAAGGGTGGCCTACTGTCATAACTCTTACATCCTCAAGTGCCACGCGAAACGCAAGGCAACGTTTGAAAACATTGGCTGGAACCTGCCGGGCCTCTTCCCAGGCAGATGAGTTCGCCTTCCGAGCCACGCTTGGGAAGCCTGGAAGCTACGCTGAACCAGCTTCGCCAGGAGGTCCGCGTGTGCCGTGGGTCTACCCGCCGCGCGGCTGGCGGAAAAATGCGGAAAAGACGCGGCGGGATCCGTGCAGGTGGCGATGAGGGACCAGGAGATCAACATGCTGGTGGATGAGCTCAGAGTTGGGCGAGGGGCACATCATCAAAGCCTTTCTTGCTTGAAAAGATTGACTGGAAGGAATGTAAAATGTCAGCCAAGCAAGGTTCTGATTCTTGTTTTTTTAGGTGGGCTCTTTGAGCAAACGAGGGAACAACGCCAAGGAGGCCACGCAGACCCTAGGTATGAGCTCATACGGAGCCCAGCTGTGCGTGCGGTGTCCTCTGATTTTGCTGGCAGAGATTGTCTGACTACAAGCATCTACAGGCCAAAGAAAGCCAGTAACAGTCACACCAAGCACTTCTAGTTCAATGGATTGGCTGAACGGCACTTGCTCTGTAAGGAAGTCGAGGGGTCTTTCTCTCGCGAAACAGACGCCGAGCCATGCGGCGCAGACACCTCCGCTGCGTTCGAGGCTGCCCGTGCTGGTCCTGTCTTCATCCCGGGAGCTCCAAGTGGATCCAATCCACCCGAGGTGGCGACCTCTCGTGGTCTGGACCTCGGACAATCGGACCGGGGACTGCTTGGATGGTGTGGGTTGAGGCGGTCATCTCAAGAAATCTCGGTGTTTGATCGTCAGAACATGTCAGAACTGCTCCCGATCCGCGAGCGTGAGTGGCCGGGTCTGAACCGCACTGCCGGGTCTGTCGTCCTGAAACCAACATGACATCAACATATTGTAATGCTTGAGTCCCACTCGATAGTATTCGTAGATTTCGTAGGTGGTCGAAAGCCGGCATCGCGCAAGGTTTCACGCAAGGGTTCTTTGCACAAAGCGCTACTGTCAGCGACATTAAAAACACATTCGAGCCGAACGGTATTTATATAATTGTCTTTAGATTAAACTTTAAACTTTAGATGTCTTAAGAGGCGCGTGCTTAGCCCACGCCGGCGCAAGTGTGGCTTTGTTTGACCCATGTGCAGACGCTAAAATCAGAGATCTTTTGGCCAACACTTGTGAGGCCCTGAAGCTTTGAGCAGTCCAGGAGAAGACTCCGCTGCAGTAGGCCGGCCCCGAAGGGTTCTTAACTGCTTCAGTGTCCTGCTTGGGGCTCCTAATTTGAAGTCTCCGAAGTGTCATACAATATGTTTTAGTACCAATGAGTCTTTCAAAAACCATCGCCCCTCGACCTGTGGGTGTTTGAGATATGGCTCGACTTGGGGGTTTCGTGTTGGGTGCGGCGAGGCCCTTCTGCCAGAATATTCTAAAAGACTCTACAGTGGGCCCTACAGTATGGGTTGGCCGTCTTCCTTTGTGGGCCGATGGGGCATTGTATTTTGCCTTCTCTTGGAAGAGGACACCCAAAAGCACATCCTGTCTCCGTACAAAGCTGGAGAGGTGACCCAACAGCCTTGCTCTTGGACAGGAACAAGGTGCCCGGGCTCATGGGAACATTATTTGGAACAGCAGAGTGCAGTGTCACTGAAGATTCTTACTTTCAAGATTCAATGATCCTCATTCATGAAAGTATTGGCCCCCCAATTCAAGTAGTAAGTTTTGAGTAGCTGCCAAGAGTGAAGGAGATGTCAGGAAGCAACAGAACCCCTTCTTTCGAACCGCTGCTTCGGTCGGCCCCTCGTCATGAATCGGCCCACTCCCCTTCTGGCGATGCCCGGTGATCCCGAGCGGGCCCAGATCCGCCAGGCCTTCGACGCGTTTCGGAGGTCCGTGCGGCGCAGCGAGACGCTGGACGATGGTCGAGAAGCCATGAAGCAGCTGGTGGTCGAAGCCAAAGAAGTTGGAGAGCTTGCAAACGTGAGACGCCCAGCTGAAAGAGACCAGTGCCGGACTGGCAGTGCACGGACGGCCGCAGTGCCGAGCCTGATTTTTTTGGCGCAGTGCCATGGAAGTGGACATCGACACCTTTTTTGCGGAGAAGTAGTGCCATACCAGTAGTGTGAAGCTTGTGAGGCTGCCAGGGCGTCAGTGCAAGTGATTCAGAAGAAGATCGAGAAGGCAAGATCGAGAAGCGGCTCGTGTCATCGCCCCATGTCGCTTGAGGCTCGCGCCCTTCGCTCTGTCGAGGCTCGCCTGGGCCGCGTCCTGGGCACTGGTCCTCACGATCCCACCTCCAAGGAGCGGATTCGAAGACTGTAGAGAGAGGAGTGTGAAGACAAATCAGGCAGATAAGTGTAGTATCATTGCATAAGCAGGCCTATCATGTACAATTAATTGTAATTGTTTTTTTTAAAAGACTCGAAGTCACCGGCATTCCATTGGAGTCGGGGTGGACAAGAAAACCATCAGGTCATGCAAGTCTTAGGATTTTCTAAGAGCCTTTCTTCGCTGCCCTGTCAGACACCATCACAGGAGAATGCCGTGCCGCCGGACACTCCCGAAATTGCCACCCTGAACCATACCATGGAGGTGCAGCACAAGCTCAAATCTAGTCCAACGAGCAGTGCGATGGCACACTGGAAAGACATATACTGTGTATACAAATATATACACTATGGTATATATATACACACATATATATATATACATATATATATAATATATATTTACACAGTATAGCATACCGTATAAAAACTGTTGTCAGGCAATGCCAGACGCACTTGATGCAAACCAGCTGATTCGTAGCAAACGCAGCCTTGAGTCGATGAGGGGGGGTTTATAAACCCCGGCGAGTTCCAGCGAGTCAACCGGACGGAGCAATATTCGACATTCATTCGACTCAAAGCGACTTGAAGTCATTGTCCAAGAAATTCTGGAAGCTCTCAACGTGCGGGAATGTATTTGATCCCTGCCGCATTGAGCTGTGATTGGACTAGTGAAAGGGGACAAACATGGACAAAACAATACGGTTGCCTCAGCCCCTGCAGAAAAAGCCACGCCCTGGGTGCCAAAAGGACAATTATATACTTTCTTCGCCCGCAATCTATAGGTGAAGCACAGATGCCGAGATTTTATGTTACTATAGGGATTAAAGACGAAACCGTTGGCCACATCGATCGCTTTACTGGGCTTTTTGAGAACTCCATGGAACTGTTTTGATGGATTGCAGAGTTGGCCTGGCAGCTGGCAACAGTTCTGGGGCCATTTGAGAGATACTGGAGACCCAATGATGGGCCACGAAGGCGCCTAAGGCTTCTTGTATCTCAGGAGGTAGGGAAAGATCACAGTCTTGAAGGAACAACGGTCAAAACATGCAGCATGCAATTCCAAAGGGTCGCTAGCAAAGCCTCACCAAACATCTCAGAACAATCTTGGTCCTTGTTGTGCTTCACTTCGCCCAGCGAAGAACCCACCCGATCTCTTGAGCGAAGCCTCACCACTCGTCGCACAATTTTCCCGTCCGAGGTGAAGATCTCCACGTACAAGAAAAGCATGGAACGCTTGAAATGGGTGTCTTGACGTCGGATCTTCGGACCGCGTCTTGGGACCCGCGTCTTCGCACAGCTTATATACTTATGTATATATACACACAAGGAGTCAGAAAGGGTGGTTTCTAGTCCCTAAGTGAGTGGATAATGGGAACACCTATCCTCCAACAAGCACCCCTTTTGTGAATTGTGGTGTATATAATAGAGGTACAGTATCCTTTTCTTTCCCTCCGGGTGTGGGGCTGTGTGCAATACGCAATCTGGCCAGAAGTTTGGGAAGTCTCCCCAGTTATTGAGAGCTCAATGAGTTCGGCAAAGTATGTCCGGCCCCTGACCAGAGGAGTCTATGGATGATGTTTCTCGATGTTTTTGATTTGCACATCCTCAGGTGAACAGAGCATGATAGAAAGCCGACATGGCATCAGTCACATTTGGGTGGTATTTCGTGCTTAACCGACTTGAGGAGAACGACGATAACCATGCATGTGTATGACATAACTACTGTATATTTCAATATCGACCTAGTTTGTAGTATTGGACATTGTACACAACTCCGAAAGATAATAGGTGCAACACCGATATGGTTTTTTGTTCCCATTGCGCAGCACCATGTCCAAGTAGCAGTGAGTGCCCCCTTGGTCTCCAGCCCTTAGGGCAGTACCAGTTGGGCGTCTCTGTGAGACGGCTCTGGGACGAGTCATGCCCGCCAGAGAGAGAGAGAGAGAGAAACACCCAACGTTCCGAACCCCGCTGTGCGGCGTGGGGGGCGACCAGGTCAAGGCCGAGATTGAGAAGTACCGATCTGCAGCGGAGGAAAACAAGGACATCTTGGTTGCCGTGGCAGATGGTAGCATAGTGACTTAATGCACACAAGGAGCAAGCTTGTTATTACTGTACATGTTATTACTATGTTCGGAAACAATTTAAATTGTTAAGGTCTTCGGGACTCAGACCCTTACCATTGTATCGTCATGCACGGCTGGAGCTTGTGGAGCCATTTTAAGGAGATGAAAAACATAGATACTCATGACTCCCGAGACTGGAACCTCTGATTGCCAATGCTGCACGAGCCACAATAATCCTTCCATTTCCATGTGCCACCTTGCTCCTTCAGTTCAGTCCAGGGCCTAAAGCCGCCCGGGCATCTCGTCCATGTGCCGCACCAGGAGCGTTTGCAGCGGGACTTTGAGGCCGCCGCGGTGTGGTGCAGGATCAGTTCTCATACGTGCTGTCCCATCCACTTCGGGAAGAAGTCAAGGACCATCAGACCTGGGGACCAACAGGCGTCGCCAAAAGGCGCCGCACTGGCACGGACGTCCTTGTCCTTGTGCACCTAGTCCTTTTGAGCCACGAATGAGCCATGTGACCGTGTGATGGTGGATGACGCCAATGTGGCACCGTGCTTTGGTTGTTGCGGATCCTCTCGAGGCGTGGTACCTCTCCTTGCAGGCCAGTTCTGGCTCTGCAAGAGCCACCATTCTCATGTCGTGTTTGATCGTTTAGTGGCCGGGCGCGCTTGAGTTCTATAAATAAGTTTGGAGAATGTTCGGAGCAGATTGTAGCAGAAGCTTGCTGGGGTCTTCAAATCACATTTGTCTCCCGATTTTGGGAGGCTTGATCGGAACAATCTCTCATCAATGCAGTATTCAGTATTCAGTATACATCTACTACCGCCGCTGCAACGGGATTTTCATTGTAGTTTTGTCGTGGCTATCTGCGAAAATAGGCCTTACAGAATTCGCTAAGGCTGTAAGGAACCCGCTTGAGGAACTCCGTTGCAAATCACATGCCAGTGGTTTTGGGTCCATTCCAGTCACTTTGAGAATGGCTCTCCAGGCCCATCAAGCCAGTGTGGCAGGTGCTGAGGCGGTGAGGCAGGCTTAGAACATCAGGGCAAAACACTGACTTGGAACAGCCAAGTTCTCCTGGAAAGCAAACTTAGATTTTGGTGGATTGAAGGTTCCTTGCTTGCCCCGCAACAGTATAGAGGCTTTGCATGTTCACAAATAAGATACTGTATTATTGTTGCTTAGCTTATTTTCCATTCATGCAGAGAATGAACATGGCACGTGCCTATTTAGATGCATGTGTACACATTGGCCAGCTCACACATCGCCCGCACGTCGCGTGCACCTTCCACACATTGAAGATGCATACACATTTTACGCGTTCTGGGATTCTGGGAACATGTTGATAGTGGTGACGGACAAAAATACTATTAAAGGAACAACAACCGACGATGATTTATATAAGTGTGAGGTGTATTGCTCTAACTCAGGTTGTTACCAGAGACCAACTTGAGATTTTCTAACAGCAATATCGCGATGTCTTCAGTATTCACTTATAGCATAGGACAACATGTTGTGTTTTATTTCGATTTGTCGTTCCAGAGTCTCAATATTATATATGTATATTTTTAGATGTATAATACTTTGGAGTTGTTGGCGTTGTTATGCCCAACTTTCTGATCTTGCTACCCGCAAGATAGCAGGTGGTTAGTTTGTCTAATGTGGAGTCAAAGCATAACTATTTGCACACAAGAAGCAAACAGACTGAAACAGGGTCATCAGGCAGATCAGTCGAGACTCTTGCCACTTACCACATCTGAAACTATTCATGTGGTGAGGTGGGCAATTTGTTGTGTGCACCCCCGGTCAGGTTGGACTCTGAAAGACCTGGGTTTCATCCAAGGTCCCGAAGTCTCTTTAGTTCAGGGAAGACGACACCCAGCCAAGAAGAGTCGTAATGAGTCTTGGCTTTTCGGCTCCGACTTCTTCTCTCCTTTCCTTCCCCACATCCACATCCCGCAATCCCACGCAGGCCAGCGTCGGCCCAAAGCCCAGCGGCGGTGGTGGAATCCAGCCCCAGGAGCAACTCTGCCCAGGAGTCGAGGAAAGCTCCAGGCAGCGGGTTGGCTGTGGATCGCTTTGGACTCCTCATCCGCAAAACAGAACAAGTTCAAGGTATGTCAAGGGTCAAGCAGTGTCAAGGATGTTCTTTGATCTTTTTGTTGCTTTTTCGATTTGATCCTTAATCGTGCGATGGAAGGTGCGCATGAAGGTGTTTTGGCCGCCTCCGGCGTGCCACAAGAACCACCGGCAACCTCACTCACAGGCGTGAGCCTCGAGCTGACAAATCCAGAAATATTTGGTCATTTGTGGTCTGCCAACTTGAGGCCATCAGCAAACGGATGACGACATCCGAGCCTACTTTGCTGCCGTGGCCAATCTGGAGTCCCGTTGAGGCTTCTGTTGCATAATATGCGGTGATTACGAGTCAGGCGCCTTTACCACGGGTGCAGTGCTAACGAGCACGCTTGAAAGCACAGCTGTGCACAAGCGTCACAAGGTTGCGAAAGGTGCAGCCTTGTATCGAAAGTGTGCTTGCGACATCGCTTCGCAGCGCACCAAATCCAAGACAAAGCGCTTGAAAACACGTGTTGAGTGAGATCAACTCTTGGACGACATGGGACCCAATGATCACGTCGAAACCCGGCAGACCGAAACTCCTGGCAGACGGTTCTCCAGAAATCCAATTTTTCGAGCCACATGGGACTCAGTGCTGCAGTTTTGACTGGCAGGACTTGGGTGGCTTGAGCCTCGTCAATGGTGTTGATGTTCCAAAAGGGAGACCCAACAAACTTCGCTTTTGGAAGGTTTTGGACCAATTGATTGGTTGATGGATCCCCATGGTCTTAAACCTAGATAGGGCACCTTGTATGCTTTCTGCTGAGGGGGGCAGGGCGGCGCATGAATTCACCACTGTCGATGCAAAATTTTTGGTTCAAGAGTGGCCGACAATGCATCTGCACTGGAAGAACCAGTAACGGTTCCTCGGCAGATATTGTTCAAATAAAACTTGTTTGTTCCATCTCCATGTCACAGACTCTCGTTTTTTGTGTTTGGACTTTGCGATTTGGCAAGGATGCCGACGTCATGAATGCTGAAGAGTCTGCTGCCGAGAATAGCTCGGAAGTGCAGTTGCTCAAGGCTGGAAAGATGATATGTTGATGACAGATGTGTCTCAACAAGTTCAGAAACGCTTCAGAGTCCATCTTGGTTTGAAGATCTTTAGCGGTAGCGCTTCATCCTTGTGTGATGTGTATTTTGGTGAGAACAAATTTTGATTTGCATGAAACGGTAATTTCTTTGTTTATGGTCGAATCCAACATGTTTTTATTTGCCAAATTCAGCTTCCTCGCCCGAACAGTTGGCTGTCGCCGATGCAGGAGTTGCTTCTGCAGCAAACACGACGATCAGAGACTTTGGGGCGGCAGGACAGCCGTTCGGATTTGCCGAACAACGATCACTATGCATGCAGTTGCCTATCCCTTTTCACGTTTTTGGTTTTGAATTTTTTGGAGATAGAAGTACAATGAAGTACATATATTTGACTTGGGATGATCTGGCTGGAATCACGCGAAAAGGGCACCATGTTGTCAGTTTCTGCCTGGACGGTTTCTCCTTCAAAGCATTAATGTTTTGAATTGTTTTGACCCGTTTTGTTTCTTACAAGTACTACAGGATCCTTCTTGTCAGCCTCAACACGCAGCTTGTGGATGTTTATATGTCAATTTGCAGTGAAAGCGACATGAGTACCCCTCTAAAGGCTATGTTTAGTTCACATTAGTTCACTTCAAGTTTTGTCCCCCACTTGGTTCGTGAGTGGCAGCAGGCAGCGGCGCGCGACTGGGAGCGATGGGAGCTCCTGCAGCAGTCATTCGGCCCGAATTGGGGGTGTGGACAACTCCTTTGAACAGTCACCATCCTGAGTGATCCTGGGTGTTTCTGTGTTTCTTTGTTTTGTCTCATGGGAGTGTTTTCTTCGGGTTTTGGATTTTTAAGTTGGTCAAATCTCAGCCACAGTTTGGATGATCCCGCCCAAGTGATAGTCCAACACCACATGTCCCATACTGTATTTCGATGGAATTTCTTTTGAAATCTCTCGAAGATCAACTGCAAACAACCTTGAAAGACTATGGACAACTACAACGATAATGTCCCCGTTCAATCCACATTTTGTTTTCTCAGGTTGTTGGACGGCCTGTAATGTCAGCATCCATGTGTTCATATTGCCATGACGCACGGTTTGGAGGCTGCGACAGAAAGATGAGCAGCTGGAGTTCGAAGAGATCGCTGCCACAAAACAACGAGTTGTGACTCGTGCTGCAACCACTTCGAGTTGGGCACAAGAGGTTTGGGCATTGGGGGTGAGAGCCAACCATGCCAGAGGAAGAGGAAGATGCACGTTTCATGGTGAACACTAGTTTCTCTTAATATTTTTTGGATGTGAATGCGGGGTTGACCCACCATGTCATCCACATCTCATCTTCGATTTTTTTAAACGAATGCCAGCTGATAGGCTAGGCTGAAGTGCTAGATGGGCGAACGAAGTGAGTATCAGGGTGTGTGGGGGGGTGGTTGCGTGCAAAAGGGGGACTCTATCAGGGCCTTGGTCAGGGCCTTGGTGATGCGAGTGATACCAATAGCATTTTTTGCTGAAGCAGGACACGGCAACAATGACTTGTCGGCACAGGAAGCTGCTTTTCTGGGCTGGCGCCCTTTTGCGGTGTGTTTGCAGGCCATCATTGAGGAATCGCCAAGTTCTCCAAGAAAGCGCGTTAAGGGTGGCTCTTTGTTGGCCTGCTTTAGGTCTTTAGGTTGAATTGTCGATGCAGAGCCAGGTATGGCAAGGCAGTGTGTTCTACAACCGCATTTCTGGGCTGGTGCCCTTCTGCGCTTTGTTTGAGGATCATATCGCAGCATAAAAAAGGGCACCTCTGGCTTGGACGCCGCCTCAGGGCAAAAAAGAGGGCACCCCCCAAAAGTGGGCTCTAGCAAAAGGACATTGGACAAAGCAAGGCGCGGCAGGTGCATCTTCGAGCATTTATCTTGCGAGTAAAGAGGGCATTATCAGGGGGTCCGTGCGGGAGTGTTGGAGACTCGCACATCGCTTGTTGGAGCTTCTTGAGTGAAACACGCTGCTCTGAGTGTGTACGAGGGCTGGCTTTCGTCCCTTCACTTCTCAAGGTTGACCACCCTTCAAGTGAAGTAGTCCTGAAGTTTTTTGCGCTTCCCTGGGCTTTTTGTTTGGGTGTTCTCATCCACATCGAAAACATCTATATACTGTCACTGCGGCACGTCGTGCGACGCGAAGGAGCCCCACGGACCATTTAAGAATGCTTGGAGGGCTGTTCACAGGTCAGGATGTTGAGGATTTTGGTATACCCACAGAAATCCACAGAATGTGACTTCATGGAGATGATGGTCTTGTGCCAAGGGTGCTAGAGATTTTGGATCAGAATCAGATGCTGAGTTCTAGGCGATTTTGGGGGCTGAAGGGGCACTTTTGACTTGGACGCAAACCTTATACTTCAAGTAGAGAAGTCCGGACGACGGGTCCATCCTAATGTCAAACAACGCAGTTGAGAACACTGTGGTGCACGCATGTTTAATAGTTCTAATATGTTCTGATCCCCCTCCACCGAACTACTAGTTACTGTATTCCAAAAACCACTTAAGAGAGAGGCAGGCCACATCAGGTTGCCAGTGGGCAGGTGAAACACGCCCAGAAACAGCCTAAAAACTTCAAACTACCAGCAAAACGTCTCATCGTGTAGTTTGAAAACATGAAATTGTCCATTCAGGGGACTGAAATTGTTTCAGAAACATTCGTGAAAATGAAGACACCCAAGTCAGAACACGTCATCATCATCATCACCGTTCTTGTACTTGTAACATATAGAATACTATTTCGGTCCTTTTCAATCTATATCAGCGGTATCGTTCCGACGACTCTCGTCTCGCCTTCCAGGTTTTGAGCACGGTGCGCGCCACGGCGCGGCATTACCGGGCAGTGTGCTGTTTGCGCGCCTGGAGGAGCCATGTGCAGCAGTGCCTTGGACAGCCAGCCTTGGCCACTCTAAAAGCCTACACCGACCCCTGGGTCTCACCATCTCACCCCTGTTTTGGATCGTTTTTGGTCACTCTATTTCTCAAGTGCAAGGAGATTCTGAAGGTCCAAGGCCATATCCAATAGTTGGAATCTGGAAATGTTTAGAAATGTTGTTCCAGACTGTTTTGGTCAAAAGATCACGACGGGACATCGGAGTAAGACAACCCAGAAGGCTGCCGAAAAATGGTTCGCTCCCATGTCCGCCCAACGCACTGCAAGAGTTGCCACAGTCAGGTCGACTGCGTGTGCCGTTAAAGGCCGGCTGGATGACCACCGTGCGCGACCTCAGGCTGTGCGCGGAGCGAGCCCTGCTCCGCGCCAAGAACCGGCTGGCATTGGGCCGGCGGCGGCATGCCAGCAGCCTCATCCATTCGGCCGGAGCTCAGAAACGACGAGCTGGACACCATTTAAATTTGAAAGAATATGAAAGAATGGGATGATTTTAGAACATTGGTCCTTTCAGCAGGGTTTGCACATGAGATCCTTTCTTGAGCCATACCCAAATGGTTCCTGTAGGATCCTGTAGGGGTTGGATTGATTCTCCATCATCATTATACTTCTGGCGTTTTGCTCAACTGGGTGGATGCCGCGCGCACAATTCATATATATATATATATATCCGATATCCCATGTCCATGTCATCTCACTTTGACCAATGTTTTCCGATGATGCTATACTGGAAGGATTGCACCATCGCATATTGTATTCCAGTGCTTTTGATGCCAGCCCAGCTTGACACGCAACTGAGCGAAATCACCATAAATCACCTGACCGTTCCACAACAGCTTTCCTGTCACAGGTGTTGAAACGTGTGCTGGAACGGCATCTGACATCGGGGCTTCATGCGCTGGGCGTTCACCGAGCGCCCGGAACTCAGCCGAGCGAAGTTCACCGGAGCCTTCCGCGGCGGAAGGAACGGGCGAAGGTGCATGGGAACTCGGTTGCTTGGGATGTGAACGGACATGAGCTGTAGAGAGTTTCCCCTTGAAACGCGAAAACCATGAAACAGTTCAAGCAGGAAATTCAGGGGTTTGGAACAACTGGCCAAAGCCACCCATCTCACGGAGTTGAGGAGCTTCGTCTCGCCCGAGATTGAGAAGAGGACGGGTCTCCGATGCAACCAATGTTTGACGGTGTTGTGCATCCGATGCAGCCCCATGCGCCGCATGCGCCTCGTTTCTTACGCATCCGCGACAGAGTTATGTTACATGTGCTGGGCAGTTTTTCAGATCGAAGTGGTGCTGTCGGTGTCTTTCTGGTGATGCCGCTGTTGGTGAAACAGGAGAGTCCCAGAGCCGGGCTTCTCCACGCCTCCGAAGAGCAGTGCTTCGGCTGCCCTTTGAGGGCGCGCTTCGGCGATCTTTTGTCAATATGACATTACCATTCTAAAGGCTTTGAACCCCTGAAAAAGGCATTTTTCAAGACATCCGTCGTTTCTCATTCTAGTTGCAAGGTTTCCTTTGGAACCTCCAGAAAGTCTTCTTTGCAATCCATAGATTTTCTTGACCTTGAACAGATTTGAACAGTGTTAACTTTTACATTCCATGTTCGCACACCGCACACCAAACAGCACATTGCTTCCATTTGGGTCGGTTCGTTAACTTTGGTTCGTTGAAATCGGTTGGTTGGCTGTTGATTGGCTGGCTTGAACAATCTTGAACAAATGATCTTTGGAGAAGACGTTTGCTTTCGTTGCTCGAGCGATTGGAGTTGGTCGTTTGGGTTAAGTTGGTCGGGTTTTGCTGCTTTTCGGTGGTCGGCCTCGGCTTCGTAAGTTTGCACTTGGTTGGGTTTATTGTGCTTTTCATGTCTGGCTTTGCAGCTAAGTTGCCTTATTTAAGTTTGTTTGGATTGGTTTGGTTGGATTATTTGGTTGCCTAGTAAAGGGTGTTTGCCGGCTGGTCAGTGTTGAGGTGGTGTTAAGCCGGTGTTCGTTGGTAGACGGTGAGGCTGGGGAGGAGAGCAAGGAACAGCTGATGGTACAGTGGCGCACGTGTGACACGTGTTTGGCTCTCCAAACTCCAGAAACCACCCAGAAAAGTATGGAAACACCCATGAGCATCCTTCAAAACAAGGCCTTCCGGGCCTTCCTGTTTTGATTCTCCCCGTCATCCGGTGAGGTCTTCCGCTTCGTCCCCAGGTCACCCAAGTCGAGTCCACTGGGACCCCAGTGAGTGACTCAGTGGCTTCGCCACCGGACGGGGACGTGGGGACGCGACCGAAGATCGACATGGTCTGAAGATCCTGAAGTGTTTTGAAGATGTCTGAAAGCTATGAACTCGTTTGGAACCATGGTTCGATTTGGAGGCCAATATGAACAAGTTTAAGCACCTGGCCCCGGTAAGAAAGGGAACCACAACACCTACTTGTGAAGTGAATTCGGAAGAGACACACGACACGACACTCAAAACAGCTCTGGTTCCTTGGACACCCACCAGTCACCCTTGGAGGTGTCCAGTTTACTCCCCTCCGCCACCGGGACCCGCCCCCGAGCCGTGCCTTCGATTCGATGCGCGGGCCGAGGTCCGATCCCGCGGATGCCGGGCCGAGCGGCGTATCCCAGCGAGGTGGGACGGAGGGAAAGCGGCCCCGGCTGTTTGACGAAGCGGGGAGCATCCGGAGGGAAAACGGGGAGAAAAGGAGGATCATTTGGAGGAGAACATTAGTTAAATATACAGTTGACATTCTGTTTATATTGGTTTCTATTGGATTTGTCCAAAGCCGTGAAAGACATGGGTGTATTCGAATTGGTGTAAGGACGGGTTTTGCTTGATGAGTTCACCGGATTTGGGGATGGGTAGGTGATACCTGGTGGGTCCACTTGGACTGTGGGATGAACGGATCAAGACCCGAGGGGTTCTTTGATATGGTTTACTCAGTTTGGCTCAATGCTTCATCTGTGGGAGATAGAGATGACCGTTTGGTCCCCCAGAAATTCCCTTCGCCCCACGGCTGTTGGAGTCTGTGGAACTGGACCCAGTGGATTCATCATGATTCATCCTCATCCTTCACGCCTTGCCCTGAAAGATGCAGGTGTCCACCGAGATCCCCAGCGAGGTGCTTCAGAGTGTCAGCGGCCTTCCAAGTAGCAGCTGAGCAGTTTGGGTGCGGAGCGGAGCGGAGCGGAGTCCCTAACCTTTTCGCTTGGGGATTGTTTAGGACCACGCACTCGGATTTGGAGTTGATCGACAGTTCTGTGGCGCCGCTCTGATCAAACACTCTCCTCCTACGAACGGAGCAAAGGGCATCGCTACTAAGAGCAAAAATCCCTGCTGCCAGGCCGCATTAGACTCCGAGCGTGCGGATTTGGAGTCCTCCCTCGAGACGGTGCGGCTCACGCAGGAGGCGTCCATGGTCGCCCGTGGTTCCCACGGGGAGAAGCATGGAGAAGCGGCGGACGATGCATAGCTCGGACTTGGATTTTCGACGGCCTTGGGAGGGGTCATAACTGGGACTAGCCGTCAGGCTGCAGCTCAAGCGCCCAACAAAGTGAGGAGATCTCTCCTGGAGGCACCCTCGATCCGGTGGTGAGCAGCCCTTGCTAGCCTGCGACGCGATCGGACTGTTGGCTGGTACTGGTATTGCAATTTACCTTGTTTCATACCACCAACAGATCCACCCACACCTTTTCTGTGGAGAATAGTATACTATATATTTGACATGTGTGCCGCATGTGCCGGCTATCTTTGGAGTGCAAGATGTGCCTTTCTCCACTGAATCATGGGGCGCTACTCAGGGTGATAACTTTTTGTTATGGCTTTGCTGTCAGGCATGGGGTCGCGACCGCGGGAAGTGGGCCCAGGACTGGACAGGGACGTCCATGTTCCGGGATGATTTCACGATGTCGAAAGAAACAAGCAACCAAACGCTATGTCTATGTTGCAACACTGTTGTAGCTTTCTATCGTTTTTTTGACGCTCTCCTCTGGCTGTTTGTGTGTGTGTGCACATGTGACATATGGAGAGCCTCTCCGCCTCTCCTGTTTAAATTGAGCAAGTACAAGACATCTAGGAACCAAACAATCAGTGCCTGAGCTATCCTGCATCCAGTTTCTGGAAGCCAACTAGTAGCTAGTGGCTAGTAGCTTACTCCCTGACTTAATTCAAGGAGGCGCCTACTGAATTGAGTAGGAGCGGGTTTTAAAACAAATACAACTCGAGCGAGGAGCGTGCGGCCTTGAGTGCTGCAGCTGATGAGGCCAGGGAAGAAGCGAGGTGTCTCGCCTGCACTTTGTCCAACTTGGTCCCAGACTCATCCAGACTCCCAGATGAGTTTTTTTTTTTTTTTTTTGTATTTTATGTGTCACGTTTTTTCCTGGGTGACAGGGGTTTCGAGGTCTCCTTGATCTCCCAATTGGGGAGCAAGTGGACCAAGTGAAACTATGCACATCACACCCAAGATGATCATCCTCCTGGTCATGAAACAGTCAACCAACTGATGGCGACACACGTTTGCACTCGCAAACCTGTCAACCTACTAGGCAGTGTTTGATCGCAAACCAAAGCGTTGGGTCAGTGGAGAAGGCCGATCGCTCCGCCGTTTCTCAAGGATGGCACGTTGGGCCAACGCAGAGGCTGAGGCCGGTGGAGTGGGGAAGCTTTTGGGCTGGACAGTTGTATCACGCAATATTTGAATATAAGTGAGCATTCACATGTATTCAAGGTTATTTGACGAGTGGCCTAAACAATGATGCATTCCAGGATATTCCAGGGTCATCTCACCTCCTGGAATCGCTTTCACGGAATGACATTTACGCAAAACTAGCAGGCCAAGGTAGCACTCATGCAGTGCAGATTCTTTTTTTGGATTCACTTGCCAATGGGCTCACCTATGAGAAACGACACCTTGAAGTTCGCATTCTGAAACTGTGTGTGTCGCCCGCTAGCCCGCTCGCAATCCGAAAGCTGAGAGGTCAAGCAAGAAGGTCATAAACATATATGCAACCAAAAGACCATCAAACAATATCAAACAAATATATCGACATCATTCAGACATCATGTTTCACAAAAACCAACAAATATTCTCAAATATGGATTGGAAGGTGAATCGTATAAATGCTAAACAACATCTACTCCGAAATGTGAATGACATTCAGAATAGATTCAGACTTCATGTCACAGGTGGTCAAAATAGCGAATTTATTGTTCCAAAGGGGAAGGGGGTCCCCTCACGTCACCCCTCATGATATTTGGGGAGGTTCATGATTTTTCAACCCAAGGTCGCAGGTCACATATAAATTAATTATCGATCTTTTTTGTCTCCAATCTAATATCTTTCGGATGCGGCCCAACAAAAACTACTGTATTTATGTGCTGCTGCTGGGAATCAGAGGGCAGTGGGGGGTTCTTCAAGTGTTTGCAATGCTTCAGATGGCAGTGCATGTCTTAAAGATTCTGAACTTCCAACTCTGGCTGTCAAGGTGACCCAGAAGTGTCGACTCTCCGCCTTTTTGTGGAGCCACATTTCATGCGCCTTCCAAAAAAACACTTGTTTTGCTATGTATTGCTGGCCAGGCAAACTATGCAGAAGCAGCGGAGGCCAGCATTCCATCCATTCTGAGCGGGGGTGGAGGCATCTCAACGAGCACCTTATTTAATCCGCAGGTCCTTCTGATATGTATGTTTGCATTATTTAGTTGATAGAGTTTGTGTAATTTGGTATTAAGTTTTGTTATAATGCATTCCACAAAACAAAGCATGTTCATACCTGTTGGACTTGAGGTCAGCAATGCTGGTACGAAGAGACAGAAGAACATACTGAACCTTTTGCCCCGATGATTCTTGCTTCAAGTCACACATGCATCTCCCATCACAAGGTTGCCAGAGCAGAGCTGCGAGGAGAGGAACATTTGTGTGTGATGCCCAGCGTTGAAACGACGTCAATAACCATGACTCGCCAAGGCGGGTGATGTGACGTTACCGCCCGAGGTGAAGAACGAGTCAAACGAGTCAAGTCTCGCGATGTCTGGACGAGTCTGGCGATGCTGGACGACGAAGTCGGACTGACGGAGATGCGACCCTTCGAGGAGCAAGGCGTTATCAGTGCAGGTTTGATTCTCCGAAGCTGAGAATGGTCCAGTTGACGAACTGAGTGCGGGTTTTCCGCCAAGGCATGCAGCTTGCAGCCCAGTTAAGGGAACGAATCCACCAGGCTGCCAGTCTTTCAGGCTGCAAGGTCCTTTGGACAGTTGCTGAATCTGATGATGGGACAGGGGAGAGATCTGAGGTAGGACCAGATGCGGACCATTCACGAGCATTCAGATATCAATCACTCACACCTGGAGATTCGTTCTCTGAGCAAAATCAAACGGTTTGTTCACGGGTTTGCCAGCGATCCACTCCCTTCCAGTTGTGTTGCACTGCTCCATTTGGTTTCCACGCGTGTTTGTTAGATTTGGATGTTCTTGCGTATTTAAGTTTCAGGCAAAGTTGGTAGGTTTGCATGTTTCGGAAATAAGCCGGCAAGCAACATCAAACAACTGAGCCCATGTGAATCTTCTGGAGAATGAATCTCCAGGCAACGTGTGACAATTCTTGCAAGTGTGTTTAGATGTTTTTTGGTGATTGAACATGGCCAATGGCAGTGCAGCCATTGAGCTGAACAGCTTAACATGGCACAACATGAGGGAACCCCGAGAGGGGCTCGGGACGATCCTCGATAGGCCGAATCTTTGGAGGAAGCCTTGGAGCTGAAATTGGAAGGAGCAAAGGTCGGGCAGAGCGGCAGAGAGTAGAGTTGTCCTCCAATTCCAAGCTTAAAGCAGGATTCAAGCCCTTCTTGACTACACGGCCAGAGCATCTCCACTCTTGGAGCCAGGCCACTCCTGACGGAGCACCTTCTTCCAGTCAGCTCCAAGAGCATGGGCCCCAGGACTGCTTGAGAAAAGTGCAGCACATTCTCACCACCTCCGGTGACACTTGGGCAGCTGTGTACAGGTCATGGTTTGGTGCAAAAGGATGTGATGATCGACTTTTTGGTGACGGTTGGTGACTGTATGATACTGTATGATACTGTATGTCTGTATTGGGACCCAATCGACGGCAGAGCCGCGGCAGAGCTGCTCCGCCCAGGCTGGACTCCTATGCTGCGCTGGTGGACCGGCTTCGCAGCGAAGTGGCGCACGAGCGCTCAGAGCGCGAGGCGGGACAACGAAAGCCGGTGCCGCTGTTGGTCTGGGATCTTGCAGCTGTAGTGCTTGGGGATCTCTCTCACACCACTGTCTGTGGTAGTGCCTCGGTCAGAGCTTTGTCTTTCAAAGTGTATACATATATATACATATATGTATGGTGAACTTCCATGTTTGGATGCACTTTGTTTGATCAAGAAACTGAGAAAGCTGGAGTAGTTGCTGGTCTTCAGCCAGCCTTGCACGCCCTCCCCAGAGTGAGTGGCAGCAAGGACGGAGCTTTGTTCTGTAGTGACATCAAACATGACACCACAATTTTTGGGATGAATGATCCAGCCCGTGGCGCATGTTCAGACATGTCCTGGTCATTGTCACTCATTTTGTTGGCCGCCCCCCTTTCCTGTTGGCACACTTTTGTGCATCCTAAGTCCTAAGGAGACCAAGGAAACCACAGGAAATGTCAAGAAACCGAAAGAATCCCATGCGCTCTACTTGGTCGTCGAGTAGGTGAAGAGTGAAACAAACCATGGAAAAGGGTTTGCAACGGTTTGTGCCTACACGCCAAAGCTGGTGTGTTTGATGACAAGTGGCGACCCACACCATACCACACCTGGAACTTTAGCGGGAGATGGCTTGGTAGTTCACATTCTTTGCAGCGCCGGGTTGTTGGTGAGGCCTCCGCAAGCAGTTTAGCCACCCTACGCAATTCGCCCGGGGCCTTGCAAAGAGCTCCATATTGTTTTTGCACCATCAACTGGGTGTAAAAACGCGAATGGCTGAAGCCATGAGAACTGCAGTATCTTCAAAAGCTTCAACTATCTCAACTATTGGCCGTTTGCACTGCCTTTGGTCAGATCCGAAGGTATCGATTGCTTCTACAGCGCACGTCCAATGACTGCGGGGCACCCAAATCCGTGGTGTGAACAGAATAGGAAACTCCTTCTATAAATTGGAATGGAAGAAAAGGAAGAAGAAGCATTTTATGCACAAAGAAAGAACGTCTCAGAAGTCTCAGAACAACCATGAACAACCCAAAAACAAACGGACGCCCCCCCCCAATGTCCGTTGGTGCTTTTTGCCTGATTTCTCCATGTTCGCCATGTTGATGGCGAGTCGTTGTTCGTTTTCACCTTCTGAGGCCTGAGGGAAGGAAGCAGAGCCTGCAGAGGGGCATGGGCGCGGTGAGGCCGGAGGTAGTGGAAGACACGTTCAAAACGCGCTGAGGCCTACCGTAGGAAAAAAGTATTGGATTTTGATTGCGAACAGAAGTAGGATTCTTGGGCATTGGTTTGCTTTTGTTCTTTGATTTTGTCTTTGAGTGGTGCGTGCTCTTTTGGGCCTCTGCTTTAGCCTAGCCTTAAGCCATCTTAAGCCTTCTTTCTGCCAGCAGCCTAGGCGTTGTCTCACTAGGTTAAGGGCATTTATCTCGGAGCAGAAATAGAGGTAGAGTTAAGAAAACCACTTAGGCTATCTCCGATGGTTTTTCCAAATAAAAAAGCAAAAAAATAAACAAACAAAACAACTACAAAAAGCAAAGGCGAAAAAAACGGCGAACAAATAAGCGGAAAACACAACAAATGAAAAAGCAACAAACACAAAAAATGCGAACAACAAAGTGAAAAAACACAAATGAACAAGTAACAAGTCTCAAACAGCGAACAAACAAGCAAACAAAATAAACAGCAAATGAACAAGCAAACAGCGAAAAAACAAAAAACAACGAACAAAAACGTGAAAAAAAAACAACAGAAAAAGCAAAAAGCCTCAAAACGCAAACAAAAAAGCAAATGACGAAGCAAAAAGCGGAAAAAACACGGCGAACAAAAAAGCGCTACATTTTTTTGACAAAGCGAAAAGACAAAACAAAACAAAGCGGAACAACAAAAGGCAAGCAAACATGCAAACAAAAAAGCGAAAAAAAAATGGAACACATGCGGAAAATTGGTTTTGCGATTTCATTTGCTTTTTTTGTGCTTTTTGGATTTGTTTTTTTGGCTTTGCTTTTTCATTTGCATTTTTTTTTGTATTTGCTATTTTTTGCTTTCGATTTTTCATGTGATTTTTGCTTTTTGGATTATGTTTTTGCTTTTGCTTTTTGTAGTTGCCTTTTTGTATTTTTTTTTGCTTTTCTATTATTTTCAAGATTCGCAGAGTAGCCTGGGTCCGGCGATGATAAAGGTAGAGCATCGATTCCGAAAGCAATTCTGCCCCAGCATTGCATTTGTAGGCACACTTCGTAGTTCATAGGCACATTCCACCGATGCTTCACTACGCTAAGAAGCTTATAGATTATATATGGCTCTCAGAATTCGAGTGATTTGATGACAGAGGAGGCAGATGCAATTGCATCTGAGAGTGAAGTGAAGGGGAAGCACTGGGTGGGTGAGCATGTGGACAACTGCGAAGCCAACACCTGACAAGTTCAGAGGAGCATCGAACAACCAAGCTATCGCCAACTGCCAAATCACATACAAACACACACGCACCTCAAAAGGGAGGAAGGCAAGTCACTCAATTAAGCTGTAAACCTAATAAGTAAATAGATATGCCTATCGCACTCACAACAGACCCAAGCAACACCCAAAGCAGTCAAAGCAAACACTTGAACAAAAAAACATTTGAGAAACAACAGACAAATAACAATAAACAACACAAAACACATTTAAACACTAAAACATGCAACACAGAACACGTCATACTTTAATTCCCAGCAACCATTCCAAATCATAAAGCAGTACGAAAAAGACTCAATGAACCATCATAATCCAAAACCACATCATAAATCAAATCATACCTGGAATCATACTGAAAAATACACATACACATAATCAATAAATCCTGAAGCTAGCTAGCTTTCGCAATCACTAGCTACCTCAGGCCTATTTGGCTGGAAAGGGGATGGATGAATGAGACACACCTTCAGGTAGGCCAGGTATGCGTCAATAATCTGTTGCCCACACTGTAGAAAGCTTTGGTTGACTAGAGTAAAGATAGCAAGTAACCAATATTTTGTTCCCAAAGTCTCATTCGTCTTGCAACGTTTTGAGTGTTAAGTCAGACTTGCCCTTCCTCGGAAGTCTTCACGCATTTGTGGCCTGCTTTAAGAACTTGTTTCTTCAAACACTTGTTGAGGACTGTTGTTTGTTGTTGTATTCTCAGTGATTGAAAGGTACTGATGAGCAGACTGAGTATATAGACCATTGAATGATTGCTGATCCAAACAGTCTCCCCCCGGGTGGAACTACAATTGTCCTTGGGAGGCCCCGCGAGGGGGGTTAGGAGCATGGTAGGCATGTCGGTCCCTCAAGGTGCAGCTGTTGCAAGTGCAAGAAGAGTGTTGCGGGAGTGGGATGTAGGTCAGAAAGGAAGCTGGGAGAAAAGTATTGAACCGTTGGAGGTTGAAGACCCCCTTAAACACCATTTGGATTTCAATCAATCATCAAATTATAACTTTGTAATTAATTCAATCAAAAAATATGTACATCAACTACTCACCAAATTGATTCCAATGACTCTATTTACCAATATTTACCATAAATTCAATCTGTTTTGGTTTACCCTTTCCCCAATAAAGTTGTGCTTCTCGAGATGATCCAGCAATTCGGCGGCTAACTACTGCCGATTTGCTCTTATTGAACTACCTTTATGTACATGTTGTCTTCATCTATTCTAGGATCCATAAAGTATGTCATGATTGCGATCCAACATGTTCTAGGCAAATGATTCATTGACAAAATACACCGAACATTTGAATCGCGACTCCGAACATTTGATCGATCCACCGCTCCAAGGCACCAATTTTACACACCCTACAAGAGCCTATAAGCCAGCAGCGGGTTTCTACTAGTGTTTCGACTATAACCGGATTCAAGGTCATCACGTGCTTTCCAAGGACACATGTTCATTGATGCCGAAATGAATGATCCTCATTGTATACTTTATAAAGTAGAATGTTAATAAGCTATTGTTTGTGTATTTTGAATGGCATCCAATGACCCCTATTACTTCTGCGGCATGTTAAGCTTTCAAACATAATGGCGATTGGCATGATTCCAATTGTCGCCTTCAGCGGCTTCGCAGGCCGAGGGCTTTCCATTCGCAGCAAGTGACCCTGGACTACCAGTGGCGTTCTCAAGCGGCATGATGGTATACTCAATCTCAACTACTAGTGTGGCCATGTATGACTTGGCCATTGACATCATCCAAAAATGACTCTTGGTTGAGATCATATGACGACTTTTGGTTGAGCCATGATGAGCTGAAATGGTGCACGTGTTCGATGTGATGAACCAAAGTCCAACATGCCCAGATCCAGGAATGGCCAATGATTCTGGCCAAACAAAGGATTTGGATGCACGTGCAACGACATATTGCATCCTGCTAATGATATATCTCCAATTTGCTTCAATTGTTGATCTTCAGAAATACCGTACTAATGGAATTGATCAATATAGAATATTTTGCAAATTGAAGTTGATTGGAGATTTAATCGCTATCGATTTAGATTTAGATAGCCCTTAACTCACAAATGAATTTCAATCAAGAAATACAATCATATTTCAAAATAAATATCTATGATTCAAATTTTATATAATTGATTTTTCTTAAATCCAATAGAAATAATTAGATTGTTCTATTTAATATATAAAAGGATAATATATTTATATGTTTATTTAAAATGAAAGGTATTATTTTAGGACATATTTTGATTTTTTTGTTTTTGCGAAATATATATAATATATTTTCGAATTTAAAAATAAAAATTAATAAAATATAATATTTCGAATTATTACTACAATATAATTATTCATTTTTTTCGTAGAATAGATTTATAGATATTTATATTTTTTTTATTTTGAAATGAATTATTTCGATATTTTGAATATTATTTAATATTGAATAATATAAATTAAATATATAGAAATATTTTTAATTTAGAAAGATCTATAATATATATATATAAATATTTTTGATCGTAAGGATTATTATAAATTATATATGAATATATATTTTTTATATATTTTATAATTTAATATAGAATATTTGTAATAAATTTTTTAAATATTATATTATATATTTTTATATTTATGATTTTTATTTTTAAATAATATATATATATAATTGATTTTGGATTAGGTAGCACTTGCGACATTAATAATATTTTGCTGGCCTAAACCTGGAGCAATATAGGAGATACCTGGAGCAATATAGGAGATATAGGAGAAGCAATTTTTGTGCATATTCATTGAGCATGCCGGGGTTGTTGTGGACCCATGTGCAGAACAATTTCTAGGCCCCATGCTTGTGGACTGGTTCAAGGACCATCCCAATCGTGATTAGAATGATGCTGGTGAATTTGCTGGATGGTTTCCATAATGGCTGCTTGAAAAAAACGCTCCCATAATATATGCAGGAGGATTGGAGCTCTCGGTTACTTAGTTCAACAAAAGATTATGCAGATGGGTTAGCTCCTGTTCCCATGGCATGTCCAATTGAGGGTTTCATTACTCTTCAGCAGATGATCAACAACTGGCATTATCAAGAGCCTTTTGTGCACGCATTCACATGTGACTCCCCTTGGATCTGCCTTCAGGTGTCTCGTTTTCCCTTCCTTGGATAGAAAAGCCGATGTTCAGTTCTGTGGGATAGACGCTTGCCCGTGCAGATTCCGATTTTCAATGACCGCCGAGGCATCCATGTTGAGTGGCATGATTTTATCGTGACAACGGGGGTCATCCACCTGGGTGACACGCCCACTGAAGGCCATTCTCGTAGCATCCTTTGGCACAGTGGCACCGTCAAGTCTTGGGATGATTTTCGTTCTGCCCTTCCTTTGGGAGTTGACCCGGAAATTGCTTCCACTATCTACCTCATTTGGATCATCCCCAAGACATGCACAAATCAGCAATGGAAACGTCCTTTGCCTATGAAGCCAAAGAGTTTTGACGAATTGCTCAATGACTGATTCGCATGAGCACGCCTTTTCGAGCACTGGTGCCTAGACACTCGAGAAGTGTCCGGCCTGGAGTCCCTCCAGCTGGCCCAACACGGGCAACCAGCATAGGTTGCCGGCAGATGAAATGAACACATAGTTGGTTTTGAATATAAAAAAGAAATCTTGATTTTCGAGTATTGATTGAATATATTTGGATTAGAAATTTTATATATAGTAATTTTTTAAAATATTGTTAGATTATTTGTGAAAGATTCGCGATGAGGTTTGCGGATTCATTTTTTTTTCGGAAGTTTTATCGAAGATTATTATTTATTGTATATATTTATATATTTTTATTGTATTGATGATATATATAAATATAAGGTAATTTTTTGGTAGGATCGGTGGATGGGTATATATAAATGTGAAAATATATAAATATTACATAAAATAGCAATTTAAATAGATTTTGACGGGCTGACGTAGATATTTATAAATATACAATTATTTGAAAAAAAAACAATATATTAATGAAATTCTGTGAAAGATCCGTAAATATTTTGCTAATATTTAATTTCTTCAAATATTTATCGTATATTGAAAATTGATACGCAAATTGAATTGAATTATGATCGATTCTATTTGGTAATTTTCGTTTAGATATTATAAATGAATAATCCTGAATAATTATGGAAATACTAAAATTTCTATTGGGATTGCACTCCACCAAAAGATTTCTCTTTATTTTATGATATTATATTATCGATTCATATTAGCTAGAGATGGTTGGAGGTGTATACTTCGCGATGAAATCACGAAAGATCTGCGAAAGATATATATTTATTCTTTTCCCGAAGGATAATCATTCTAGGACGAAAGAATATTGATCAATTATTATTTAGATCCCTGAAATATACGGGTGTGCACGATTAATTATCAATGTATTTATACCTTTCCATATTCTCGAAATGCATTTCGATTATATAGGCTCGCGAAATCTGCATGGGCACTACCGATTATATTTTCGTTGTGGTGCCGTGCGCATTTTCGCATATAATGATTATTTTTTGTGGTAGATATAAAATAAATGATTTCAAATTCGATTTTTCGTGACAAATGCAAGGAATCGGAATTATTTCAATTTCGAAAGGTCAATTTCGTGGCAAATACAGCATTTTGGACATGGTGAGTGTGAGTGAGCGTAAATGTGAGCGTGTGTGAGTGAATGAGGGGGGAAATGAAGAAAGATGACAGAATGAATATATAACAATATAAAGTCCTGTGCTTACCACAATTCCGTCGAGATTTCCTAATCTTATACCTACACGAAATTTATATGTCGAAATTCACTTAATATCGTGCTTACCACGATGTCTGCACTTCAAGGTACACCAAAGATTTCCAACGAGATTTATCCTTCGAGCTTCACCAAATGCGGTGTTTGCCACGAAATCTATATTTCGAACAATATAAGGTGTTATACCTATCACGAAATCTTCATTTCGATATTAATAAACAATATATCTGTTACGAAATTTACATTTCGAGCTTCACCAAGTGCTATACGGCTTCTATCCATATTTAAAAAATATCTTAATAATTAAAAAAGATTATTTCTAGATTCTATTTTTATCAAACAATTAGGTTATTTTATTAATTCTAATTTAAAAGGTCCTGCCACAACGGAAAAAATACGATATTTTTATACCGGGCCGTGGCTAGGCCGGAACCAACAATTCAATCGATGGGTCCCAACCTTCCAAAAATTCGGAAAAAAAGAAAATTCCAATCTCTTTCCAAGATCTACAGGATAATGAAGGTTCGTTTTTAATTAGGTATCATTGTGGTTATAATTCGGTGCATCCAATATTATTCAATTGCGGCCGTAATGATACCTAATTAAAAATTCATTTTCGTGATATCAAAAAAATCTGAAATGAGGGGAGGGAGGGAAGGAGGGAGGGAGGGTGAGGGAGGGGGGGAGGGAAGGAGATTGAAGGTTCCGATAAGACATTTAAAGGGTTTCACATCAGCTTCAGACCACCCGAGAGGATAGGTTGGGCATTCGATAAAATTCGGAAAAATTCCAATCTCTCTCCAGGATCTACAGGGTAATGAAGGCTCATTTTTATTTAAATGCCATTATGGTCGTAATTCGGTGCGTCCAATTTTATTCAATTGCGGCCGTAGTGATATCTAATTAGAAACTATTTTTCGTGATTCCACAAATCTATGATGAGGGGAAGGAAGGAGGGGGGAGGGCTCAAAATTGAAGGCTCCGATGGGACTTCGAAAGGGTTTTCAGATCAGGTTCAAACCACCTCAGGTACTCGATAGGATACGGGTCAAAGAAATCAAAGACCATGCGCATAGCGATGCGGTTAAGCGATTTAGAATTCGAGGGAGAATGATTTCATTATCTAAAAAAGGCTACCAGGGAGAACATATAATAAGAATCCTTCTTTAGAATCTGCCTGCTAACCATATTTCTTAATTGACCCAATTAGAATGCAATTATAACTAAGAAATAATCTAGAATCTTTTCTAACAAAACATTTTTCTTAACAGAATCATCATTCGTATTTATCACGAAATTTACAACCGAACCACATCTCCAGAAATTACAACTCATCCCACCTATTACGAAACTATTAATATTCATTTAAGAAGAGGGATATACGAAAGGTAAGATAACGGAGGAATATAAAAATATAAAATATGCAATCTGTTATTGGTGGAATCGAATCAAACATCAAATTAAACATTGTAAAAAAGAAAATAATTCTATATATATATATATATTAATATATTTATATAATAATCCTTAACAACAAAAATTTATCAAAAACAACATATCATTGTCTCTACATAAACTCAAATACTACCCCAAATTTCGGTTATTCAATATCAAATAGCCATCAAAATATCGAGGTATTCCATTTCGACATAAAAAACTCAAAAAAACACCAAATAAGAAATATCGAACTAATCCATTTCAAGATAAAACATCAGAAGAGGGAATTAAAAAAACAATCTACATTAAAATAAATCAAACCATTCTAGGAAAAAAAATTATAGATTAAACAATAATCCAATGAGAACGGGGGAGAATTAAACTAAAATATCAATTATTAGATCCGGAAAAAAAAACCCGCACTTACTTTGCAAAAACAAATTCAACATATTTCCTGCTCTCATTTCCATTAATTCTTCCTTTCACTCCCCCACACCCACTCTCACTCACTCACTCTCACTCTCAATCTCAATCTCAATCTCACTCTCAATCTCAATCTCACTCTCACTCTCATTCACACTCGCTGCCGCCGTCGCTACGATCCCTACTTTCATCACCACCATCACCTCTCTAGACCCCAATGCATCTAGATCTCTAGACGTTCTGCTTATAGACCTCACACGCACTATGTAGGGGTCTCTTGCCGGGATAT